TTTAGGAGGGTGAAGAAAAAATAATTAAATAGTAGTATGGTTGATTAAAAGTGAATATGGAGTTTTATACACAATATAGACAAATACGCGGGTATGATGAGTGACATATAAATTAACAGAGGTGAAATATATAGAAACAATTTTTAAGGGTAAAATGAGACTTTATTTGGGGATAGGGGTATATTCTTTCATAGAAGAGTATTAGTAAGAAAAATGGCATATAATTATACTCGGATGTATGACATAAAATAGAAATTAAACAACTTTAGAAAGTTGATTTCAATTCAATTGAATTATTTTCCTCAAAATCAAACACACTAATCTGAAGACCTCAACCAACGTCATTTGTCAACTTTAAGTGTAACATACGCCATTGAAGTGTTTGAATGTTTAGCAGACATAATACTCTTCAAGAACAAGCTCATATGAACAATAATATTAGTTTTTGTTCATGTCATCTTCCATGATATATCTGAATTCGCAATAATTCATCGAAAATCGACGACTTCGTCCACCATTACAGGGGAGTAGTTGCTGGGTTTTTATCAAGGGAAAGTGTCTAGAAACCATGAACAAGATAAATATAAGCAGAAAATATGATTGTCAAAATTATGATATAACTTGTGAAGCACTTCATGCATATTATTAAATGTGCCCTAAATGTTCAGTTTCACATAGTTATGTATTTTTCCTAGATGCTTCACAATTAGCTTCTATTTATCAAACAATTCAAGTGAATTATAAAGTACGGAGTATAATTTTAAACATATACACAAGTTTTTAATTTTGAACTAGGTAGAGTAAATGAAAGATAGAAGAAAAGTATCGAGTATTGCTAAGCTAGAAGGAAATTGTCGGGAAAATACTCAGATCATGCAATTTTTTCGGTCAATTTTTTGTTTCCATAACGCGTGGACAATAGTGTAGTCTATCATAAAATAATGGGTCACTTTCTAAATTAAATAAGCTAAAACTTTAAATTATTTCTACTAATCCTTAACAATACATACGCTAGTCACGTGTGTATGTAACCACGAACTCTTGAAGACGAAGGTTTTAAGTTTTTCTGTTTTTTGTTCTAGTACTATACAAGCATCTGAAGCTCAACGTAGTGGAGTACTGAACTTTACTCCTATTGTGTAATGTTATTGATTAAGCATATGTCCAAAAAAAAGTAAAAGAAAAACGCTAATACTTGCCAATGTCAAAAAAATGTTTAAGGAATGACCATTTATTATATGATTGAATATTTTTTATGTATTATTAATTACCTAATTAAAGGAAATATATGTGAAGAGGATGTAATATCGATCTACAAATATAGATTAAAAAAAAAAAACATGTAAAAAAATTAATTTAAATATGTGTCATATCCTTTTCCTTCATTAAATATGGAGTATTAGAACTATGTGATAGTTAATAAGTCCGGACAAAAGAAGTATGAGATAGCTATTGAAGTACATACAAATATAGATGAATTGTACATGATTTTAGCCCGTAATTAGTCCAAATATAGTAACTACTTTCAATATTTATTTACTTCCATACGTAAATGAGTCCTTAAGTGTAGAATTTCTTTTTATGTAGATTTCTTGTAAACATACACTTTAATTGCATAACCAAGTGGTGTAATTTGTGTATTACGCTCACGTATGTTAGGTAATTGGTAGGAAGATAGATCGATAGAGTTCCCTCTTTTTGCTATCGTTTATTTACTGCTGCCACTCTAGACCATGCAATCCCTTCCGTTTCTGAGAGAAAAATTCAATGCCCTGCTCGCTAAGTCAGGGAAAATAATTGTGTAGTATATCTTGAACTCATTGTCTACACTCGCGCGCCCATGGGTGGTGCAAAGAAATAAACAAGGCTAATATTGTAGAATGTCAACTAACTTAATTGATAAAATCAAAATTCTTGTTAACATTGATCAATTACCTTTACACTATTGATCCCAAAATAATCTATGGGATGTGGAACAATGTCCTTTTTTGTATAAGTTGTACATCTTATTTTCCCGATATTTTTTATTGGATAAAGTTTATATTCGTAATAAACTTGGAGTAATGCATGGTCAAGGCTAATTCATACTTCATGTGGTATTGTCTTAATTTTATTCAAGTACAAACGAAGTAATTTGTTTGATTAAAATTTCTTATAGGGTCGTGATACCTTAACTAACTTTGAAATCTCACTCATATCAGTTTACCCTAAAAATTGGACTTTTCTAGCTCGATGGTCTTTTTTTGTGTGTAAGGAGAACCCTAATCAAACTTCAAACTTTACGATTTTTTGGTCCAATATAATATCTAAGAGGCAAACACTTTGAAGTAGAAGGGAGGGTAAAGGATCCAATCCCTACCCCTAGGCCCCAAAGCAACCTCACTTGGCAAGATTCCAAGCCCGACCCTTAGGATGTGGATTGTGCAACTACATAGAACCTAATTTTGTTTCGGGCCTCAGATAAGTAATATGTTATACGAAGTAAAGAATTTGTTGTGCAAAGTTAGAATGTGAGGTGCTTTGGTTCAGTGGTATAGTGAACTTGTTAAGTCAATGGTGGTTGCCGCTGGTTGCTTTCAATTCTCACAATACAAATTTCTACTGTAGTTTTTTTTTTTTTTAAAGTCAAATTGAGACACTTAAATAAAAAAGTAATAGATCGACGCTAAATGATTTGAACCCTAAACCTCTAAGTTATGAGATAAAAAACTTAACTAAATTCAACACCTTTTTTTTTATTTTTTTTTTTTTTATAATTTTATCATTTGTTAATCTTAACTCAGAAGATGGAATGAATAATACATTAATACTGTATTAGAAAGTTAAGTAAGAAATATTGAGGTTGATAACAAATTGGGCTTAGGCAACCCTCTCATGAGCAACTCAATCCACATCAAGTCATCAACTTCATCAAAACTTAATTAGACGATCCAATAACATTGAACCTGGATTCAAACTTCAAAGTCAACTCAAATGTTAAGCAAATTGTCAAATTTGTCTTTGCTTGGCACAAGTGCACAACATTCCCTCTGAGATTGATCCAGTTTTATCAAGGTGTCCATTTTCCAGCTTCCACTATATACTTGGACGCACTCGCAATCGTTTCTTTTACCCCCCTTTTTTATTCGTTTGCTTATTGTGATTTTCAAAAAGCTTAATTAGTCTGGGGTTTTACACGATCTATGGAGGTCTATAAAGGAAACCTAGTCCCTTGTGATGTTCTTATATTCCTTTTTACGCGATTATATCCACGTACGCATTAAATCATCATATTAACACGTTTACAAATTATAACCGGTGATAAAACCTAATCAAATTTTAGAATATAGCACAATGTATAGTAGCCTTACATATTTAATAACCAATAATCTCGTGAAGTAATGTTAGGTATTTTATGGATTTCAGTGCCCTCACTTAGAAAGGATCATAATGATAAATTAAAATATAAAATCAATTATGAGGTTGACTGTCAGTTCATAGGTGCAAATCTCATCATTCACCCTTCCTTACGAAGTATAAAGCGATGAGCATAAAAGCAGTCATGCTACACATCCACACTTCAAATCTAAAGCAAGGATATCGTGAAAGGAGCGTGATAGAATATAAAACAATTACCCATGATACAGTAGTTGATGGGTCTTGTGCTTTGCTTGAAATATCACGTTAACAATGGGGAATATTGTGCTACGTACGTTACTATGGCGGAAACTCCACAAATTTAATTCGCCATATACAACCGCTCTTTCAAAAATAATGTTGTCCTCATTGGTCACTGAGTCTTTGCCATAACCACTACAAGTTCGATTCGCCATAACTTGCACATACTCCCTCCGTTTTTAAATACTTATTCCACTTTTCTTTTGCGGTCGTTTTTAAATACTTACTCAATTTTCTTATTTGGAAAGCTTTTACAATATTTAATTCATTCCTCTCAACTAGTGGACGCGACATAAATCATATTTTATTAATTTCATGTTCTCTCTCCTCCAATCCTCTCAACCACTTTTGCTTTTTACAATTTTTTATTCTTCCACCTACTCCACTACCTTTATATTTTATTACTTTCTCTAATTTCCTTTAAAACACCGCGCATGAAGAAATGGAGCAAGTATTTAAAAATGAAGGGAGTATTAATTTATGTGACCAATAAAAATCATGTCATGACTCGTCTTTGTACCCCCTAGAGTAGGGGTGTCCGTTCGGTTTTCGGTTTGGATTTAGTCCAAATCCGATTCAATCCGAAATATAATTCAGTTTTCAATTTTTCAATCCGATCCGATTCGAATTTCTCTCAATCCAATCCGAATTAAAATTCGGTTATTTGGATTCGATCCGAAATCCGAATTATAATACATTATTTTTTAGCGCCTAATACGATTATAAAAATAAAGCTTTAATATAAATATAAGTCTTCAAAATCATGATTAAAATAAATAGTTCAACATCAAGTCATTAATTAATTAATACAAAGTCTCCCTAATTTATTTTATTTAGTAGTAAGTATTTGAGCTAAATTTCAAAAAACAAATAAATCCATATTTATACAAGCTTAATTTTACAATTCGGTTTTCGGTTTGGATTAGATCCAATTAGGGTCAATCCGATCCAATCCGAAAATTCGAATTTTCAAAAAATCTCAATCCGATCCGATTTAAAGTTCGGATCCGATCCGAATTGATAATTTGGTTTGGGATGGATTGCATTTCGGTTTTAATTCAAATTATGGACACCCCTACCCTAGAGTTGTTGGTTGTGATAAACAATGACTACCCCATTACATAATATTGTGGAACAAATTAATAGATATCGTCTGAGGTATATAAACCAAGCTTATAGCAATATTAAAGACTTAAAGTAGATTGAACGACTCAAGAATAAACCTCCAAACTAAACGCTTAAATTGACCAGAATTCTACTGAACGATCCGATTGTCACCTCTTGCGAGTATCACTTAGCCAAATAGCCAATTAACCATAGTCAATTGACTCAATTCTCAATTCCAATTTGCTCCTCCACTCCTCTCCACCCCTTTCTTCCAAAACCCCTTCTTCTTTTCCCAAACTCCCTTGCTGTCTTCCACACTCCTCCTCGCGCACTCTTTCTCTCTCCTCCTCCCAGCAGAGCAGCACAACCCATAAAAATGGCGGAAACAGCCGACTTACAAACCGAACACACAACCCCACCACCAGAAACGACGGCGGAAGACACCCAACCGGCGCCAGATTCAGAAGCCGCCACCACAACCACACCCAAGTGGCCCGGTTGGCCCGGCGACAATGTCTTCCGCCTCATTATTCCTGCCCCTCAAGTTGGAAGCGTAATTGGGCGAAAAGGGGAATTTGTAAAGAAGATGTGTGACGAAACTCGAGCTCGGATTCGGATTCTTGAAGCCCCTGTTGGTACTGCCGATCGTGTGGTTAGTTACCCATTTCGTTGAATTTAATTCGGAACTGTTTTTCTTGGATGAATTCAATTTAGTGTTCTAATTAGGGTTTTGTAGCTTTCATTTGTTTGTGGGTATTGTTTGATTTTATTTGAGTTGATTGAATTAGGTCTTGATTGTTATGATGCGTATGACTTTGTAGAATTGAGCTTTTTAGAGGAAAAGATGGAATCTTGTAAGGTTTTGGTTGATGGGTTTACAGGGTTTTGTTGTTTGGTTGAAGTATTGGTGTATTTAATGTGAATGTTTTGGGTGAAGTAATGTTGGTTCAATTTAGTGTTTTGTTCTTTGGGCAGAATGGTTTTCGATGCCGGGGAGGTATTTGACTGAGAAAGAGAGTTCTTTGGAGGTTAAATGTTGTTGGCTTTCCTCAAGTACAGTAGTTTTAGAATTGGCAAATTTGGTTGCTTTGGCTGTGGAACTATTATTCGAGTTAGGGCTCTTTGTTTGTAGATATGAAGGATATTGTGGTGTTGAAATGGGAAAGAATTATGTGTGGAAAATAGAGCTTTGATGGATAAAAGTTTGGTTCTTGGAGTATAACATATTAGCATTGATTATTTTTGGTTGTTTTGGTCAAGGCTGTTTTGTTAACAGGTAGTAATAGATTTGAATTTGATTTTCTTTTGCTGTGAAGAAATTTAGGCTTCAATTGAAAAATCCATTTTGAGGTTGGGTTCATGATTACCTAAATTACATTAAGCTCAGATCATAAACATAGTGTGGGTGTGCAATGTTCACCTCATGGACCATTCAGCCCGATGGAGTTTTACGAGTCACTAATACTCTTTTTGGGACCTATAAATCTGTTATATAAATGGTAAAAACTTGGTACATATTTTCAAACCCCTTGCTTATGAATAAACTATCTATTACCTAAAACAACTTCTTTGTGGCAGAGGAACATCTTCAAGGGTATATTTCTTTGGAGTGAAATGTTTGATGTAAATTAGTTTTTCCTTCAGAAAACCTTGTGTGTGCTTGGACTGAGACGAAGCATGTTGTATCTGATGTCATGAGTAAACTGTAAGGACATGAATTGAGAGGGCTGGTGCTCCTTTTCTCCTTTTTGTCTTTGGTGCCAAGTGGACAGTTCAATGAGTTCATTAAGTTTGTATCATCAACTGTTGTTGACTTGTAGAGGAGGTCTGCTGTGAGGTTGCTTTTTTGTGAGAGGATCCTTAACCTTGTTTTGCTTGAAAAATCTTACCATGCTCCAGTATTGTCTGTTCTAATTTGCTACAGGCCACAAATCATCACTTTCTAGATATCTATATTAATTTTGATTATGTGGTTACAGTTTGTGAATTAGCAAGTATAATTGGCAGTGGAGGATGCTTGACTGATATGATTTTGTCCTAGGCTTTTCATGCAAAAAGCACCTGATTATTGTTAACTTTTGTCATTTCTTAAGATTGTTTGAAAGATGTGATTGGATAGGGATTTATTTGGAATTTTTTTCCTTTCAAAACAATTTTTTTTTTTTTCAAATTCCTCAGCAAATCACTTTCCTAGTTGAGAATTTATCCTGATAGGGAGCCTGGACAATATTAAGCCTTTTTGCAGAGTCTAGAGAGTTACGGTTGGTACTGACCATTATTTTCATATTCCGTAGTCTGTACCATATAGACTGTAATAAGTGTCTTTGGTTTGGTTTGATGGGAAAGAAGTGCTGTATGGGACATGGGTTATGTCGGTGATGTATAGCTGTTTAACATATGCTGTGAGACAACCAATAACCTTATTGATCACAGGTCTGTTGGTGTGGCTTAAGTTTTTAAGTTCATCCATTGGGATTTTAGGTTGACAGTGTTGGCCCTCAACCTTTTATATTTATGCATCATCCTGTCTGATAAGAGTGACTATTACTTTAAACCCTGAAAATGAATGAACAGGAAGAGTGAAAGCTATATTACTCATCAGTGTCCAATTATCAGTCTGGGCTTGGGAAAGATATTAGCTTTTACTGTATCCTCTAGTTCAACGGCTGTTGATATTTGTTGCACTCTTCAATACAATAGCTGTTCATAGTGTTCTTTATTTATATGTAGGTTCTGATATCTGGGAAGGAAGAGCCAGATGCTGCTCTGTCTCCAGCAATGGATGCAGCAGTAAGAGTGTTTAAGCGTGTTTCTGGTCTTGGTGAAGGTGACGATAAAGGTTCAGCAGCTGATGCAGCTGCTTTCTGTTCAATAAGGTTATTGGTCGCCTCAACACAAGCCATTAATCTGATTGGAAAGCAGGGATCTACAATTAAAGCAATACAGGAGAGCAGTGGTGGTGTTGTGCGAATTTTGCCCGAAGGTTTGTGTTGCAACTATTCTTTTGCTTTCAATACTGTCATTTTGCTTCAGTAAAGTTCATTTTGTAGCTCTATTTTCTTACCTTCCTCTAAAACTTTTATCTTGGTGTACAAATTTTATCATTTGTGTTCGGGACGTGTCTCATTGTTGAAGGTATGAGCTTATATGTGGTTGTAGCAAGGATATGGTCTTACAGGGAAGTTGACGTCTTATCATTTATGATATAAGTTTAATCTTGATTTTGACATCAAGCCAGATTAATCTGATCTATGGTCATGGTGTTTATAAGAAAAATGCTAAGATGGAACTATGGAAGTATGGGTTTGATGATTAACTTCTATATAGAACCTGATTTTTTCTTTCAATGAAAAATTTATGAAGAGGAAGATCCTGATGTTTTTAATTTTCTGATTTATATCAGAAGAAGGGGATGTAGTGGAATTGTTGGACTAGGGGTGCTGTATTAGGTTGTTTTGATGTTGCAGAGATGTATTACTATATCCAAGGCTTGGAAAGTAGTTTTGATCGATGTAAGAGTCAAAACTTATTCCTCTTGACTTAAATCATCGTGTTTACATAATGAAAAAAAAGGGAAGCCCTATCCATCTCAAGACACGGATACGGTGTGATTTGGAATGACAGGAACCACCGGAGAGAAAAGGAGATTGATTACCTATTTGCTTCATACACCATCAAATGTTCGGGTTCGAGTAGTAAACCCTAGTTCTGGACCTGGTAATTGAAGTTGAAATATATGATTATCTTCTTCAGATTTTTGGCCTTTTGCTCATGAGTTTGGGCCTAGAGAGAGAGAGAGAGAGAGTATTACATGCTGCCATGCTGATTGTATGTTAAAATTCCCTTTAATATAAATAATCAAAGTATTTGACTCCAACTCCATATATGGGTATTTTAATAGAGAATTGAGACAATTTGTATGAAAAATGTATAATTGCCATCATACCTGTGTCCAAAATTAAGATGGTGCCCTTGTAGTAGAAATTATCAGAATTATCGTGTCGGACATTTAGATCTGTACTCGTGTGTATGTTACATAGTGGATGAAAATAGATTGTTTCAGTATTTGTTTGCTGTGTCACTCAAGTGACTCAACTACCACTAGTATATGAACTTCAGCCCTATAGTGCTTAGGACAAACTATTGGTTCCAATGGTCAATGTGCTGCTGAATTCTGTATGATTAACTGGGAGAACTTTCACTGCAACAGGTGTCCTGTGCTGGGTTGATTCATGCATTTTTAAACACAATTTTATTATCTTGAAGTGTTGCTTCACAAAAACTCCGTAGAATCTTGTTCCATCCCTTTTGTTATATAGTTCATTATAATTTAACATAAGATGTTATTGTTCCATCGTTTTGCATAAATTCTAATAGTATTCTTGTCTAGGTGAACTTCCCTCGTATGCGGCTTCTGATGAAAGGATTATTGAAATACATGGGGAAGCTCTCAAAGTTCAAAAAACATTTGAAGCAGTCCTTGGTCACCTGAGGAAGTTTTTGCATGATCACAGTGTTGTGGCTGTGTTTGAGCAAACTGTAAGGAGTTGTATTTTTGAAATATAGCATTGTCTCCATTCGTTGGGTATTTCTTGTGACTTATATGCTGTGTTTCTGCAGTACAAAGGGACAATATCGCAAGATAGGACAGCTGATGCTTTGGAAGATAAATCCCAATCTTTGGCAAAGACTACCTCATCTCAGTCATTGATTGCCGATCATTCTCTGTCATTGAAGCGGGAAAGCTATTATGACCGTGAAGCTGAACTCGATATGAAATTCCCTCGTTCTGCAGTGTCACTGTATGGATCAGATCCAGCGCTCAGTTCTCTTCATTCTACAGGACTTACTCGTGCTGCTGCTCCTATAATTACTCAGGTATAAACAATTATTTTGTTGTACATCTGTTGGGGTAGGGATGTTAGGTGACATGCACCTTGCAAGAAGTAAATTATTACGTAATGTGAATTTGATGGCTTTTAATACTGATATATATGAAGTATATTGTACGTTTGTCCTGCCTAAAGGACAGGTGGTGTTGGGGAGGAAAATTATGAACTTTTGAAACTGCAAAGAGTTTGTTATGAATCAGTGAATCACATAGTGAGCAGCAAATAGCTGGACAAATTTCAGAGGATGATTTCATGTACACCTGGCAATTCTGACCCTGGCCCAATGACCCGACGCATGACCCGAAATTGACCCAAAAACATCGACCTGAAAATGACCCGAAAATGGAGTTAACCCGAACTGACCAGACCCGAAGTTAACCCGAACCCGAAATGACCCGACCCGAAATTGACCCGAAGTGTTTGACCCGAATAGACCCGATACCCGAAATGACCCGAACTAAAATTACCTTATAATTGAACTAAAAATTTCTGGTGCCAAAATAACTCAAATTGTTCATCTTTAACCGTAGCCAAGCTCATAAACCGAATTGATAGTTCTTATTATAACAATAACAAAATATAAAATTATTGATTTGAGCTTGATCTACAAATGGAACAACCCGAACATGACACGTCTTGATTTTGACCTGACCCGAATATAACCTGACCCGAACGTACCCGACCCAAAATTGACTCGACCAGATACCTGACCCGAACTATACTCGAAACCCGAATTGACCTGACCCGACCCGTACCCGATCGAAATTAACCCGACCCGAACGACTCATTTGCCAGGTCTAATTTCATGTATGGAGGAAAAATTGTCTTATTAACCGCCGAGATTATTAAGATAGGACATATACCTACTAGGCTACTACGATTACTACCACTACCTTTTTTTTTCAACTACCATCACCATCCTTCAAATTTACACCAGCTGCCACTACCTTTTCCTTAATTGTAGCCACCGCTACCAACTTTTCTCCCGATACCGCCGCCATTCCCCTCTACAGCTCCCTCTTTTTCCTCTTTCACTTAGATCTGGTTTGCAGGTAGCTTATGGTGGTGGTTGGGTGAAATTTTGTGAAGTTTAGGGATGATTTTCGGGTAGCTGGGTGATTTGTGGAATCTTGTGGGTGGTTTTCGGGGTAAGTGGGGTGGTATTCGAGGTGGTGGGAGGGTGGTTTTCGGGTGGGGATTGAGGCTGTTTTCTGTGATGACTTCTGAGGCGGGTTGGTGTGGCAATGGGGCTGTGTGATGTTGGTTGGGGAGGTGGGGTCAGGCGTTGGTGAGAAGTGATGGAATGGTCAACGCTGGTAAAAAATGGTTGGTTGTAGAGGAGTTTGGGGGTAAGATTGATTCCTTAGGGAGGGTGGGGAATCATGTTGGAGGGAAGTGGGGGAAACAGTGGGGTAAAGGGAATGATTAAAAAGGCTTAATAAACAACAATTAAGGTTGTCTCGCTAATCTTTTCCTTGAATACCCCAAACCAAAAGCCCCCTTGAGAGTTTTGGGGTTCTCCTCTTTACTTCAGAGAGAAGCAAAAATTAAAAAGGTTATTTGGATTAGTCAAAGAGACTGCACTCAAATGTTCACCTACTATTCTTCGATTGAGGATTTTGGCTATAATGGTATTCAAAAAGCAAAACAATCCCTCCTACAAAAATTTAGGGGGACTAGGGGATACCGAAATCTACTAATTACTTTTACAGTCACCCATCTTGTAAAGCAATACAACTTACGACTTAAAATTCTGCAATACAACAAAAAAAAAAAAAAAAATTCTGTGTCTCCTATCCTTGAACATCACACTCTACTGTTGATTTTACCCGTGACCTTAACTGCTGATCCTTGAGCCAAAATTATGCAAGCTCAGTGGCTCACCCTTGTTTTTCCACCAAAGAAAAGAATCCTAATAGGCCTGTCAAATCTGTACTTGCAAGTTGCAACACATCATTGTTTTAGTGTTAACTATTTAATGGTTTGAATCATTCTAAACCACAATCCAATGAAGAGTTATTTTTATCCTATGTAGGACTTTTGCTTACCAATTACCTTTTTCTTTGGAGAAATGATATCACGTAATAATTTTTCTTAAAAAATAATGATGTTTGAGATACTAATTAAACCTGTTAATCAAGAGCACAAAAGAAAGAAAATAGCAAGAATCCAGTAGATAAAGAATATAGTGACAAGGAATAATAAGAAGTGACTTTAATTGATATTGTTTTAGCTATTATGGATGAATTGCTGATTGCTGACCAGGCCTAACGCCTTATCGATCAAAATCCTGCCGAAAGGAAATCTGGGAGTCAAGTTTTCATCTGTGATGCATATCGAAATTTAGTTGAGAAATTTATTTGTAAGCAACAAGTTGAATAGCAGATTTGCTGATACATTATTATTCTAGAGAATTTCCTGATGAATTATGCTGTTTTGTGAGGCCGTGTGAAACTGTGGGGGTAAAGAGCAGCGCTAGGGGTTCCTGCTGCCAGTATTTTTTGTCCTTTTCTAGGATTTGTTTCTTGACGACTAAGTCTTTTAATGGTGATGTTTGCAGTTTTAGTAGTTTTCTAAATTTTGTCACGTGTATCACTTCTATAAAGATACATGTGAATGCTGTTGTGCAAATGTTTATTTTCCCTAAAGAAAATTTGAATTTTTGTAGTGTTGGAAGAACTCAATACTTTGAGCCCAAATTAGCTCTACTCTTAGATATGCTATTTGTTAGTGCAGCATGTGATTATCTTAGTATGAACTGTGAAGGTTTTGGATAGAGAAAGTCAGGATGTTCTGTCTGTGTGCTAGATTGAGTTTCATGTGTTAGCCTCTTAACTGTGTGTTTGCCAGCGGCCACTTGTGTATCATGTTTTATTGAATATGAGAGTGTGGGATCATATTTTTTTGTCTGTGGAAAGAGAGATGTATGAAAATAATTGTGGGTTAGTTTCCAAATTAGAAGTGAAAAAGTTAATTTGGTACAAATGAAGAAGGAAAGTGTAAAAACTAATCTAGGACAGAGGGAGTGTTTAGCTATGGTATGTTTTGCTTCCCAGCAACTTGATCGTTGCATTAGAGATATCAAACAATACTACATATTATATTTTGCATCAAGGACACTGTATTCTATTTTTAAACTCTGTATTTGCAATTAACTCCGTCTTTTGATTGATTGCTCTAATCAGGTTACACAAACAATGCAAGTACCACTTTCTTACGCTGAAGACATTATTGGAATTGCTGGAAGAAATATTGCCTACATTCGTCGTGCCAGTGGTGCAGCTCTTACTGTCCAAGAAAGTCATGGTCGAGGTGATGAGATCACTGTAGAAATTAAGGGCACTGCAACGCAGGTCCAGACTGCTCAACAGCTTATCCAGGTTTTTGCCTTCGTTTACTTCTTGTTTTACTGCATCTACTTATGGCTTTTGCAATATGTTGTTTTTTCATTCTAATAAAAAAGTGTGTTCAATCTTTAGATACAGATTTAAGACACTTTGGTATTTCAAATAATGCTTGCAATTTTTGGGCATTGTAGCACAACTTGACTTGACACAAAGCTAGTGAGAGAATGTTGAACCAAACATGACCTGAACCCGACCTTATTTGTTCCATTTGTCATAATGTGTAATCATCGTACATTTTATAACCACTAGGATTCAATATTTTCTATTTTCATCCATAGCCTGTGTCTACTCAATTTACACAACCTGTCTACCCAATATACAAATTCAAACCCACTTAGATAATAAACAAAATAGCTGATTATTTATAAGGAAATTTTTTTTTTTTCCCGTCTATAACCTGGACCTGAAGTTTATTACGGCTGTTTTTGTAAAACTTAATGACAACTATATGGTAATGCCAATGATGGTGAATTGGTGATAATTTAAATGTTCTTCTAGTTTACCTCAGAATGAGTTAAATTATTGATATGTCCTAACCGTTTGCAGGATTCGATTAATGGGCAAAAGGTAGCCCCTGCTAGCATGTATGGCAAAAGTGATTTGGGCTTGGGTACTGCATATTCACATCTGCCAGAAAGCACATATCACCCTTCATCATTGTCATCTTTATCATCCTATACAAGTCAAGGTCTTGGAGGAGGTTATTCTTCTGGATTGGGAGGCTACAGCAGCTACAGGTTCTGAGGTCTTGTAGTAACCGCTGTAGTTCCAGATCCGCCTTCACTTTGTATCTTTTAACCTTCTTGTTTGATACTTGTATTGTTTACTACTAGATGTACTTTATAGGAAATTTTCAAGTTGATAACCTTCTAGTCTTGTCAAATGCAAAAGACGGAAGGTTGTGCTGTACGATATTTCCTTTTTTCTTTTTTTTTTTGAATGGAATACGATATTTCCTTTAATCTCTGCCTTTCTGTTATTTGTTTGTTTTTGCGTGCGAACTGAGAAATGCTGGTTATTTCTTTGTTTGGACAACAGAGCCTGAAATCTGCGAGAACCTTCTGCCTAATACAATTTTATTCGTGCATTATTTGCGCATAACTGCTTGTTAATGCAGAAAGCACTCCAGGGTACCAGTATCCTTCTTACCTGATCTGAAACCAGGGTTCCCATGGATATTGGACTCAATTACACAAGGACTGATACTAGTGACCCACTGTTGTAAACAGGCAGGGACAAAATTCAAACCTGTAATCTTCAGGGCATGACTCACTATACTAGTCCGTGCGGCTGCTCTTGCTGTAATCATTAGCAATTGCGCTCTTTAGACCCCGATTAGACGTAATTAGTGGTTTACAGCAAAATTGGATGATTCAACAATTGATGAATTGTTTGTTGAATTCCAAATGTCACAGGCTTGGCCAACTTTTTCTGGTCCTTATTCACACGGATTCCGCACGCCTATCGTGTTTGGTCTGCAGCTCAGTTGAAAGCTACGACATGCGGCGTATTGGACTTGAGCCACCAGTACAAATTTCATCTGGACAATATAAATCGAATTTCTGGATCTGCTCGTTTCTTAAGAAAAATAAGTTCATTTGATCAATCATCCAAAGAGAAAGCTAGGGTTCTCAGTTGGAGAAAGCTAGAGTTCCAATCGGAAAAGAGAGTAATTATTAATGAGTTTGTCTACGTTAATGATTCTTAAATTAACTATATTTCGCATGTGTATCATATGCATGAGAATTAGGTATACAAAACACAAATTTTAGGTACCTCGCACGTATATTGTAAAACATTACTTCAATTAGTTCACCTAAAAAGATTTAACCTTGGGTGTATGTAAGGAGACACTACGAACAATAGGTATGATTTATATCTCTCTCCTAGGTTTCTTAATACTAGTTCTTTTAGGCTACTTTGGCATCCTTTTATCTTGTAAAGTGCTTGTTCCTCGGCCCGCCGGTTCTGTTATCTCTCCGAGAAGGACCAGCTTTTTGGCCACCCTGTTTCCCAGTGTTTCCAAACTTAAGGGGCACAATAGGTTTAAGGTATGAAAACCCTGGAAAGTGACGTTTATCCTTGGGTAGCCGTCTTAGCTCCGGTAACCAATAGGCTACATACTCGCCTTCAGGGTCATATACCTGTGCCTGAAAATCAAATAGAAGCAAGTTCCCTTAGAATGTCAGCAATGCTTGGGTTGGCATGATATTCTTGCGTTCTTTTGCTACCGTAACCTATAAAATACAGTATTGTGTGAGGTACATTGCTAGATTATTCTGTTCTGCTAGTAGTTGAGACCATGAATTGGCATTGTTTCAAGAATTTTTACGAATATCCCATCTGTTACTATAAGTCTACAAACCCTATAAAGGTTAAGATGAATAGATGATCATGTGTTTACTTGTCGAAAAAGCACCCTTTATACTTATTATTTTGTATAGAAGCTTGAAATTTGAAGGTTATACCTGTTTGGGAATGCTGAAATATCTATCTTCCCTGGGATCATTTCCGACACCTGCATACACAGCATCGCACAGAGACTTAGTAAACTAACATTTATGACACATGGATATTAAGAAGTGGAGATAGCGCGGATAGATGAATAAGCTGGTGAGCACCATCTATCAGAATGGCTTAATCTTTTGTAAAATTCACTATGTACATCCCCCTCTGTTAGCAAATCAGAATCATTTTCAGATCAACGTGTTTAAAGTGGAACATTTCCGGATGAACTAGCACTCCATATTATATAGTTTTGAGCAGAAGACCATGAAAGACATGCAAAATAAAATTCCCTGGAGATTGAATGTGAGGCAAAATTAACATCAAAGCATTGTGACAATGACCGTAAGATGAACATTTGAAGATTGAGCCGTGGCTAGCAACCATGGACAGCTAGTGCATACATATGATTTTGTGTTTGTGTGCTCAATAGTGAGAAAGAGAGAGAGATAGAAAACCACCTGCTCCATATGTCCAATTTCCATAATTAGAACAAGGATCATAATCTAAGAGGCACGTCTCAAACCATTCTGCCCCCATACGCCAGTCAATACCCATATCCCTTACAAGAAAAGAGCAAACAATCTAACAACAAAATTCCAATGCTTCAATTAGGATATATACACGTTAATAATAAATAAAAATTTCAATATCTTCACAAATAGCAACACGCTTGATGAGAAGTTGGAATTTACCTGTCTACCTCTGTTAGACATGAAGCCGGTAGTTGCTAGTTCTTTCATATTTGCATCTATTAGTGGGTACCTGAAATGTTGTTTATAATAGATGTGAAATGTTTTGACCAGAGTGCCTGACCACCATGCATCTAAAAGCATAAATGAATCAACAACTCATAAGGGCTGTTTTGGTCATAAATTATACGCCACAATTCAAGAAAGCGAGAGACAATGTGCCACATTCAAGACCAGGCTCAAAGAGGAGGTGCAACTGGTGTGTTTGTATACAATAGGCTTGATAGCCCCAAAATTCATAATGTCACCCCAATTTGCATATAAGTCAGCTTCAAAAGGTGCAACTTTCACGTGATTTGAAGTGACATTTACAAGATTTCAGGTGTCTAAGCTCAATTTTTATACTGATACAAGACCTACTGAAAAATAAAAGGTAGGATTTGAGAATGCTGTAGCAGGGGAGGGGGAAGCAACTTGAATGAAAAATGCATACCCAGTTTTGCCGTCTCTCCATGATTCAAACAATGCAGTATCCTGGCTCCATTTGTTAGCTAAATGCCTAGGACCACCTAAAGGAAAAGCAAGGAAATGAATTAAGAATGGTTATTATCCTTATCAGTCGGGCCACATTTAAGGAAGTATTATCAAGAGTGAATATGAGGAGTCTAAGTTTTGATTGAGAGCTAGAATTTTAGGTATTACCCAAATGGAAAATAGAATTTCCGTATTTGATTGATATAAACCTGAAGTAATCTCTCCATATCAATTCAAATAACACCCTGAAATCATATTGAACAGTTTAGAAACAAATTTCTTGTTGGACAAGCAGTTCATATGAGTATATGACTAATAAATGGAACTATTACCAGTATGTTGAATCATTAGCGATCCTCTCTCTTTCATACCTCTTGACCTATAAAAGTATAAACATAGAGTCATTCTCCATATGTTAAATTTTTTTCACATGGTCTGAAGAGACTGAATATTTGGATAGAGAAAAGGTTCAATACTCAACTTCCTCATATATGAGGCGTGGAGATATGCTTCCACTAGCTAACCATGGAGAAAACTTCGTCGAGTATTCAGATCCAATCATTCCATTCCTTGTCTCCTTATATGTTTTCAACAGATCCTAAACATTTTTTAGTCACGTGAACAACAAATGATCCGATAAATAATTTCTTAAAACAATTGTCATAGTACCATGAACTGTTAAAGCAGCAATGTAGCAACACGTGTAAAATCTGTTTCATATGGTAAGCATGCATCTTATATGCTTGAGGAGATTTACATATCTGTCAACTGAATAGTCAAGCAGCTAACCTGTTTCCAGAAGTATTCATGAACTCTGCTGAGTGAAGCGCTTTCACCCCCAATGAATACTAGACCTTTGTCTACCTGTCACAAAACAAGAAACAGGCCATATTCCATCTCAGACAGGAAAATGAAACAGAAAAAGAGGGGCTGGGATGGTGTCTTCTTAGGGGTGGGGGTAAATGAACACTTGTGAATTCATAAATACGTAATTTAGTTACACTCAGATTACCTCAGTAACATACCTCTTGATTATGTAACCCTAACTGGTCAATAGAAGGAATGGCACCCCAGTCTTCAATTTCAGGAGGAGGGCCAAGTGACGAAGGAATCTTGACGCAGGCTCTGATTTTGCTCTTGGATTCAATGGACTGTAAATTCCAACATATATAATTAGAAAAATTTGTAAAAAAAAAAAAAGAATTAGCAAGAAATGACCGAAATCAACTGATGGGAGGATGTTTGGTGTCAAATATAAAAAAGACCTCACCTTACGGAATTGTGTGTAGACATCAGGAATGTCTCTCACATCAAAGGGAAGATCAGTTTTATAGTACAAAGTAGCTCCCCAAAGAAGTTGCAATTTAGGAGACTTTGCTGCATTTTGGGCTGTAGATACTGTTGATGGAAGAGATACTTTTTGCAGACCTTTATTTACTCGTACTTCAACATTTAGCTCCTCGCTGCATGTTTCCTTCTGAGCATATATCTGGTACAGCCAAATTGAAATTTATGTGGTCTAAACAATTTGGTTAATCAAAGGCACAGAGGACTGAAGAAGATTATTCTATTCAGAGTTCAAATTAAGGAAAATCTTAACTGTGTGAGCTCCAAAGGTTTCTGCTAGTGCAGGAATAATATCCTCAGGCTTCCCATGTTTAACCAGCAAGTTTAAACCATGCTTCTGCAAGTTCTTTCTCAAGTCGGCTAAACATTGTATGAGAAATTGTGCTCTTAATGCTGTCATATAAAAGGTGGGCTTGACATCAGATACAAATCACAAGCTGGATCCTTCTTTTGTTTTAATATTTCAAACAGAAAGCATAATAGAAAGCCTTGTTTATGTTAACTTTGGAAGAAATAGCATTAGCAGAAAGCACACCATAAGTTTTTCCCTCTAAAGTAAAGTAAGCAAACAAAAATTTCCAGTTATTCCAGCTTCATAAAGCACTAGAAACCTGATCATATGCAGAGCACAAAATCATCAACAAATTTCAGCATAAGTTCAAACCGAATACATGTAAGGCGGAGAGACGTAAGAGCAATAAAGACCATATTGTTTGTTAACATTCATGCCAATATCGCCAACTGTCAAAGCCTATCTTTAGTACTTAATCTATTTCATGAAGTCGGCTATTAAATCGAACACATCCCAAAGCATTGCAAAATTAAAGCAGGTTAGACATCTCTAAGATATACTTTATCAAAGTTGCTTAGAATTATTCTATACATCACCTTAGTTGAGTTCTTGCCTCCAATAATTGCATCTTCCCAAACCTGTCCATTAAGGCAATGCTACCTAAAACTCACAATCTTCCTAAGCATCCAAGCCATACCCTTGGGTAAAGAAGTTTATTCAGTCTAGCATCAGGCAAATTTCCTCCAAAAGTACAAGAGAAGTTCATACTTCAAATTTTCCATCCAGCTCATTTCCACAATCAACTATCCATGTTAAAATAATCTTCTAACCCTCAAGTCTCCTAATAGCAACAACCACATTAAAAAAGCCCTTACACTAATTAGTACCACTCCAAATCTCTCTCAAATAGTTAGAAATTATTGAAAACCCATTGTTGTCCTCATGTGAGTTTCCAGAGAAGAAGAGGGTAAAAAACACATTATAAGGTTGAGGAGACACTCATCTTATAACATATTCTTTGTAAAGCATCAACTACACCATCTTATGATACAATTTAAACAAGATAGAATTTTTTTATGTGTAGAAAGCCACAAATGCCAGAATTGAAGACAGGATTTAATCCCACCCAGAAAAATTGCAAACATATCTATAGACTAAGATGAACCCACATCCAAAATCCATACAAAAATAAAAATAAAAGATAAAAAATAAATAAAAAAGAATAAACACCCACATCACAATTTTACAAATTCCTCCATTATAACATCAGGAACCCAACAATTTAACTTTCAACAAGAATTATACTTGTATGAAAGAAGCAATTATACCTCCAGTTTTAGGGAACCCAAAACTATAAGTAGTCCCAAAATGGCGAGGATCAACACAGTAAACAGGCAAAACAACCTCAGAAGAAGCCCAAGCTTTGAACAATGCTTCATTATCCAACACTCTCAAATCATTTCTAAACCATATAATGCAAACCCCTTTACCATTTCTCTTATTTTCAGAAGAAAGATAGTATCTTTGGAAAATTTGCCCTGTAATTTTATCAATGTCATTAGTTTCCAAGGCTGGAACTCTATAAATAACTGATTTTTGGGGAGGTTTTGGTGGAATATTTTCAGAATTAGAGGCTGAATTCATTGCATAAAATTGTTTTGAAAAGTGATTTTGGGTGAAATTTATGAAAATTGAGGTGGGTTTTGATGAATTTGTAAATTTTTGTAAGGATAAAATTGAGAGGGAAGAATTTCTTAATGTGTACATTTTTTTTATTTTTCTGTTTTTAGTGTGAGATAGGAGAACAGAGAAAGGTGGAAGAGGAGAAGATGAGAAGTTGACACGTGGAAGTGTTTTTTAGTGAATGATGAATGATGATGTGGAACATTTTTGGCCTATGGAGAGGTTGATTTTGATATTACGTCCGTACATTATTAATGTTGCAAGGGTGATATGCTACATTTGCTATGTGACAAAATTGTACTTTTTGATGCATTACACTATACATTTTTTGATTCAATCTAATTATTAATTTTAATCATTCATATTAAAACCTTTAGTTACCAAATTTACATAATTATGATCAAATCATGAAGACCGATGAAATATTTTCATGATAAAAAACAAAATGAACTTTTAAGGGACTCATTTGGGGGAAGACAAGGGAAATCTCTCAATTGAATCCCATTTAGCCATTTAGGGATGTGAAGTAGGGAGCGATATAACTACTCTACCATCTCAACCTTTTTCCCCCTTCTATATTTAGGGGGAGCAAATAGAACGGGTTCATGAAATAATCCTAGATTTTTGCATATGTAGACAGCATTATAGCAAAAACTCAAGTAACTGCTACTATATACAAAAAAGAAGTAACATGCATGTGATACAAATTACTTCTTTCGCTATTATTAGCTTTGAATTAGTTTAACCAGAAGTTATAATTTGGTAACACTTACAACTGGAATGCATGCTTTTTTCTGTAGTTCACTATACGCCATACAATACTATACTGATTATACTGAACAAAAGCCGATAGGATAGTACAATTCATTACACGGATTTTGGGTCTTGGTACATGTGAACCATAGTAGTGCTAGCTTCAGTGTAACCCCCATCAATCACTAGATTATGTCCAGTAATAAATTCAGATTCATCAGAGGCCAGGAATACGGCAGCTGCAGCAATGTCCTGGGTTTTCCCACCTCTTCCTGTCAGTAGACTGCAGCTTTTAGCACTTATTTTGGAAACTTCTTCTGCATCAATGTCCCCGAGGAACCTCCGATAACCGCTTATGAGCATATCCGTAGGAACCCCATGAGGAGAGATGCAGTTCACTCGGATACCATGTCCTCCAAGTTCACATGCTGCACTCTTGATCAGGCTCTGGATTGCACCTTTTGACATTGTGTAGGCATGTGAGGCTAAGCCTCCCATGATTGCTGCTGAGCTAGAGGTACATATGATGGACCCGCCTATTTTACCCTCGATCATGGCACGGGCTGCATGCTTGATCCCATGTACTACACCATACAAGTTAACTGCAACAATGTTTTTTACTTCATCCATGTTGACATTGGTGATGCTCCCATCTGCGCCTGATGTGCCTACAAGAAAATTATGGCAGAGCAAACTTATGGGGTATTTGATGAAAAGAATTTAGCAATATGTAAATCAATCATGATTAACTGAATTTTACTGATTGCTAAAATGCAATGCTATATGCTAAACCTAAAATAACTAACTCCAACCTGACTACTTGAGGAGAATTACCCAGCTCTAACTCAAACAGTACCTTACATCAACCTAATTACAACCAGCCCAGCCAGCAAACTAAGATGAATAATATAGATTGAGCTATCCCATATATGACCAAATCGATCTGAAATTGAACTGAAAATTCATCAACCAAACATGAGTACATGCTCAAACCATATTGACTTGAACTGAATGCCGTTTGTGTGACTATACTTGCAAAACCATCGATTTGATTTCTTCATAGCTATAGCTGCTATTTGGTACAAATAATAACCAAAGAAATGACCTCACTTTGAGCAATAACTAAAATATGCTTTCAAACTAGAAAGTAGAAAAAACAGATGAAGAAAATTTTTACATGCTCCAGAACTCCAAGTAATTTGAACATGTTAGCTAGAAACTCTTCTCAATTACGTACCTACCTGCATTATTGAATATAATGTCAAGGCGGCCCTTCCATGTCAAAGCTAGCTTCACCGCTGACTCTATATCAGCTTCCTTAGAGACATCACAATGTATGTAGCTGCCTCCTATGGAATTGGCGAGGGCAATGCCTAGCTCATCAAGTACATCAGCCACGACTACATAAGCCCCATTTAAGGCAAAGAATTTTGCCGTAGTGGCTCCTATACCTTTTGCACCCCCTGTTATTATTGCAACTTTACCCTTCAACCTAATATGTATTTTACAATAGAATTTTGTGAGTAATTTCTCATAAAGAGTACATGAAATAAGCAACCAACTACCTTTCCACTGAACAAAAAGTTTTTTTTTTTTTTCGACCCTATTCTCCAGACCTCACTATAAAGGGCATAAAAAGTTTACACTGCAAATATGTTACAACCTTTGTAACGGAAATCTTACGTTGAAGAACGTACTACTACAAATTTACAATATTAGAAAATCAATATATCTATTCATTTCGCTATATTGCAAGATTAAAGGACAAACCAATACTTATGGTATTGCAAGTTTGGCATAAGATATAAAAATACAGTACTAATAGTTACAATTATAAAAATTAGAAAAGGGGAGCCCTTTTACCTTTGTTCTCCACTGCATTTGGTGCCATTAGCCTCCATTTATGGATTGGTATAAATAGATTCAAAGTGTTAATATACTTGTATGTATATAAGATAAGGAATTCCGACAGAAAAGGAAACATAAAAGATTATGTGAAATATCACAATCTTTAGATGATGGTTTTTCTACTCCATCACACGTTTCCCACTTCTACAACAACTCCCCTTATTCCTATTTTAATCCAAATTTAGAAGGATATTTGTTTGTATTCCATATCTGTGGGTTATCAAATTCTCAACCAAAACACTCGTCACCATGCACAAGATGGATCATTGACAATATAAATTACGGAAATTATACTCTTTTCTATAGCCCTCTTAGAATTTCCTTTAATTAATCAATTGTTAGGTCACCTCCATTATTTTCTTTTCAGACTCAGTATAACTAGAAGGTATTTTGGACAATTCAATACAAGAAAGAGACAATTTTTAAACATCTCAGAGTAGTAGTACTGTATATAACTTTTTAGGAGTATGTAACATTGTCTTGGAATAATCATGCATCTGTTTTAAATACTTCAACCTAACATCCTTTCTTAGGAAATCATTATGAATACTACTATATACTGATACAAAATGGAAAGTGTAACTGATGGGTAGAGCCACAAGCTCAGAAAACGGGAAATAGTCCAACTTACATTGCGGAATCAAGAGGATCACCTTCCAAAAAGAATCTCCTAGGATTTCACATAGCAATGCGAGTTCATCACATAGAGTGTCCCAGGCTCACAGCAGAAAACTTAACCAAAACACTCAATTATATCAAGCGGTCAGGCTTGCGTTTTGAGCATAACACGCAACAAACTCTGGCTCATTGTAACGACAGGTCGACAGCAGCAAACGCCTTCTGATTTCAATCCAGCAGCACATTCGACTAATGGCACCAAAAGCCACAACTGAAATCAGAACTCTGCAGCAGCATCACGCAACTGATCAAAACAGAGGTAGCTCCTCTCTGTCAGCATCTGACCGACAAAAATTTTCCCAACCCTTTTTCGTATCTCATAAAATTGCTCTGCTGATGAATCCAATTCGAATGCTTTAGTCCTATACTCCTATTCTTTCTGGTTGAAGAATAGGCACAATCAAACATCATTAGGATTGGTATTGAGCTCATGCACCTGCCTAGCCCATAATATCCTATCCTTATTTTCAATAAACCCTCAAAACCATGTCAGCATGGATGTTATCAACATCATTCTTAGCCTTAAAATCAAATAAGAAAGATTTCATCTTTTAGTTAAGGCAGCAATCAGATTGTTATTTTCAATTTCTTACAATATTTTCTCCTCTGAAAGATTTCTTTCTTGGGGGATATTCTACACAGCATGAAGATCACTTGGGTAACACAAAGGTATCTCAACAGAATGAAGTAGACAGTCCAAGAGCATGTCCCCTTGATGGGGGATAAACACTACCCAACTTCTTAATCATCTCATCAAGGTTCTGCAGTTTGTCTAATTCACCTGATTCCCGCAGAAACCTCTCTAACATGTGGAACACTGGTTTTCCCATATGCCTTCCTCTATTTAACATCTGTTTGGCACACTCAAAAGCTTCTTGAACCCGACCGTGCGAACACAAACTTGTCACCAAAAGAGCCAATGCATGGTCATGAGGACAAGAACCCTTTTCCATCAAGTAATTCCACAAATTCAAGCCTAAATCTAGATGGTGATTTCCACAGAAGAATTTCATAAGCATCACCACTGTACGGGTCTCAGGAACAAAGTTTAACAATACCATTTTTTCGTAGAGACCTCTAACAGCCTCGATGCCATTTGACTTCATTAAGCCATGGAACAGGGTATGATACGTTATGCCATCAGGAGCAATTTGCTTCTCTTCCATTTCATTCTCCAAGTTAATGGCATAGTCCACCTGTTTACATTTCACAAGAACACTTATCATCGCATTATAATTCCCTTGCAACTAAGTGGAAAAATTAGGAATTCCACTTCCTAAGGGTCCACTTCCTAAGGGTGAGAATCAAACCCCTCTCTCACAAAGATTGGAAGGAGGGTCTCTAACCACCAAACCAATCTTGATTCTCAAATTCTCATGGAGTACTTATAATGTGCTTTCGGTATACTTCGTATGAAATAATAGAATACTACTAGCAATTTTGCTAAATTTTTCTATTGAAATACTGCAAATAATTATATTAAAAGTTTAAATTCACGAAACATGTCTAAATCGGTCGAAAATCGAACAAGAGTTGGCCGACATCGGATTTATATGGGTCTTAAATTAGGTCTAGATTCACGTGGGTCGAATAAATTCCAATTTGGTCTTCAATCCATAAAAATGGCTGAATTCGATATTTGGTCCAATGATTTTGATCCAGTTAGATTTTGGACTTGTACATAGCTCGGATATGCCTAAAAATTCTTGGATAATCATTGTGAATGATTTATAGGTTTTATTTTTTATTTTTTTACCAGAGAGAAAATCCGATCACTCTTAGGGGGGGGGGGGGTTAAGCTTTACTCTATTAACCATCCTTATACAAGTAACTAACCGGGAGGGGTGATACATAGTTTATGACCTGCTAGCAAGTACACATGGGGGGTTGATCATTTCCTTCATGGATGCTTGATTTTAGGTGATTGATGCTACATCATTTGCGTTTCTTAGACCTACAAAAGCAATACTTAAGGTAGTTCTTACCTTTCTGGATCTTCATTTTTGGCATATGCAATATACTATATTTCTTTGGCTTGGACGAAAAAATGAAGGTAGTGGGTGTGAGCATAGGGTGATTTTGATTGATTTAAAAAGGCATGGGATCATCGTCAGTAGAGCCAACAAATTCTACTTCCAATTGATCATTGATTGGGTACTCACTGAAATCTCACTCCTTTCCTCGGCATTCAAAACTTCTTTGATTGATTTTTTTATTACATTTATGCATTGGGATAAAATATATCTTTATTTCCATTTTTTTAGTGTTTAGAGAGCCACAAGGGTGATTGATGAGAACCAATCCTAAAATCACCTGAAATCGGAAAGGGATCAAAGCTCTAACCACTCGAGCTATCCTTTACTCTCATTTCCAAATTGCATCCAATAGCTATATAGGATTGGTTATAAATTTCGTTTCTTTTTAATGGATAAAACATTATTTTAGTTAACAATTCCATTTGCTAAAACCACTTCTAAAGAATGAATTCATTATGATAATACTCGGTACAAATGTACAACCTTTATATCAAGTAACATTTCGCTAGTTCTAGTCAAGTTTTATTTCGATAAAGACTTATTAAGAAATGACTTACACATAAAATAAGTTACTCGTATGAAATAAAGAAAAATTAAAAGGAAAAATGGAAATAAATTATCCCACCTTTGCATGATCTGATAATAACAATCCCACCTTTTGTTTATTACGAGACACTCCCACCTTGGTATGTCATCTTCTTTTAATGGACCTTGACTTGTTGGTGATTGATTTTGTAGGTTATATGCCATGTGTCAAATTTTAATAGGTTCATTTTATTTTTTTAATAATAAAAAAAAAGCTAAAGGCAAAAAACAAAAAAAAAAACAAAAATACAGAAAACAAAATAAAAAAACGGAAAAAAAAAACCAGTCACCAACCCCCACCGTGAAACCCTAGCCCCTACCCCAGCCACCACCAAAAACCGGCTGGCCGCCCTCCTTAACCTCCAAAAATGGCCAGCCGACACCCACCTACCAGGGAAACGGTGGAGTTTTTGCGGGTAGGGTTGGGTTTTTAGGGTGTTTAAGCGGGGTTTTTGGGGCTGAGAAGGGGATTTTTGGGGTGGTTAGGGAGGTTGGGTGGGATTTTTCATGGCTGGGATAGAGGTTTTGGGGGTTTTCGATTTTCGGCGGTTAGAGGGGTTTTTTCAGGGTGGTGGTTGTGGTGGTTTTAGGGGGGATTTGTGTAAGGGGGTGATTTCGGGGGTGGCTTTTGGTCGGCGAGGTGGTTTTTTTGGTATTGGGAGGTTTTGGCCGGCCGTTTTCGGGGGTTTACGGTGGCGGCCAACTGGTTGGTAAGGGTTAGGGTTTCATGGTGGATGGGGGGTGGCTGGCGGTTGGTGGTTTTTTTTTTTTAATTTTTTTTTACCTGTTTTTGTTTTTAACTTTTTTTATTTTAACCAATTTTTGAGCGATACGTGGCTTTAAAAAAAATAAAAAAAAAAACATTTTAATCTGTTTAACAGGTTGTAGGTAAGAAGCTCCGATAAAAGAAGATGACATACTTGGGATTGCCTCGTACCCCCTCCGTTTTTAAATACTTGCTCCATTTTTCATTTCCGACCGTTTTTAAATACTTGTTCCATCTTCTTATTAAGCTTTTACAATTTAATTAATTTCTCTCACCTAGTGGACCCACCATAAATTATATTTTATTAATTTTATATTCTCAACTACTTTTGCTTTTTACAATTTTTTAATTGTTTTACCTACTCTACTGCTTCCATATTTTATTACTTTCTTTAATTTTTTCAATATTTAAAAACGAAGAGAGTAATAAATAAAAGGAAAATTATTATTGTTAAACCACGCAAATAATTATATTTTTCTAAATTAAAATTAGTTCATACGGAGTACGGAGTACTAATCTGTAAGACTAGTAAAAGTCTAAATTTGGATTGAGTGACGTTCATCGTTCATGGCAGTTACAGTGTTAGCTTGTCATCTCTCCAATATCGTCATCAATTCATCAGGTTAACTTTTATGCTTTTCCCCTTCCTAATTTCCATTCTACATTTGCCCTTTTGTTTTTCTTTTAAATTCAATGTCTTTACAAATTACAACTGCTATAGATTCCCCAAATGGAAGGAAATGCAAGTACACTGGTCAATCTGTGGTATAACTTCTCATCAATCCTTTTTCATTTCTTTGATTTTTACTGTTTAATATGCACATAATTAGTTACCCTTTAATCGTTTGTTGTAAAATCTCTTAGGGTTTTCCTTAATTTCGTCCAAAATTCAATCTTTTCTGAATTTGAGATATACCCATTAAACCCAATTTCTTTGGGATTCTGAAAATTTATGTTTTTGATTTGAATTTTTTTGTGGTTTTGTTGAATTGGGGTTGCAGAGAGCAATTCCGATAAGGGTTTTGACAGTGGGGAAGAAGCGTGATCGTGGGGTTCAGCTCATTGTTGATGAATATAAAGATAAACTCCAACATTATTGTAGCATTGATGATGTCTTAATTCGCTCTAATCCTAAAAATGCGCGGTATTTTGTTCTGCCCTTTTGAGGTTTACTTTCTGCATTGCTTTAATTTTGTTATGCTTTGGATGAAATTGGATTCCATGCTAATTTCTATATTACCAAGATTATAATGTCAAGTAGCTAGTTATATACTACTTGTATTTGTTAGTTGTTCTTTGTGATATGTTGTTAGTTTTTAAATGGTCGGGAATATGTAGTTGAAAGGCTTAGTTTGAGCTCTGAAATGACAAATTAATCACTTGATTTGTTAAACTGAGATGTCCTTGCACAATTAGCTTTCAATATTGACAATTCTCATATTGTTGTATGATAAATGGAGAGATCGCATGTTGAGAGAATGAGAAAAAGCTTGAACTTCTTTCAAATATTTGGTAACTGAAATTTATTGCCTCCTATGCGTTATGTGATTGATGTTAAATCGACTTGATGATTTAGTCAAGGATAACGGAGAAATTGATTCTACTTTATGCTATCGGACTTTTGGACCTAGTGAAGGTGTTTGATCTGTTGAGCAGGAAACCGTTTTCATGTCTGCAGTCTGCTTGAGTATACTCATGTTGCTCAAATACTGTGAACATGTTTCTAATTTTCTTTTGTGGGTGTTGGTCGGGTAGGACAAGAATTGAAAAGAGGGTGTTGTTATGAGAAATGACTCTACAGAGATTTTTCCCTGTTTCAGTTTTTAAGCTGCTAACTTCAGGAATTGTTACCGGATTTTTTTGATGCTATAGAGAGCAATTGAGAAGCTATGAAATCCTAGTTCAATTCCATAGCATTAGTTATCAGTGGCAATTTAATATAATACAAAATCTGAAGTAAATGGGAATAGTTTGATATTTCTTGCTAGGGAATCTCCAATGGTTTATTCATACCCATGCCACATGACATGGCCCACTTCATTTTGTCATAAATCCATTTTCTTTTTACCAACTTTAATTTTCATGGGATTTTGTTAGTTTGTTCTTCTCCAACGACATTTTCTTCCCAAATTTGTCCTCCAAAAGCAATCATAATGCTTTTAATGAGCTCCTTCTCGCTATCTCAAAATTTTCTTTCTTTCACCTCGTCTCCCTTCAATTTTGAAATACTGAAGCAAAATTCTTTCCTACAATTATGTTGTTTATAGTGCTTTAGGTGTAAATTACATATCATTTTTTCTATCTGCATTACCAACCTCCAAGTCTACTAATGCATGTTCCTTGGATATATTACCTTTGTCCCTTGACAAAGGAAACTCTCCTCCTTGTCCCCAGTAAAGAACATCTCCATTTATCTGTTTGGAGTAACACCCCCCCCCCTTTTCTTTTTGAGGTTTTTATGGTTTGATGTCTAAACGCAAAATAATGAGAATCATGTTCTTAATGTTATTGACTAATATGTATCACTTTTGGTAATTAATTATAGCACTTTGGTTTAAGTTCACTTGTGCTCATGTTGTTCACTTAACAACAGTTTTATCACATAATCAAGTGCTGCCAATTTTTCGTCAGAATTTAATTGTGTTTGAGGTTTTCCAAACAATTTAGGTGCTTGTTTCACAAATGTTTACATGACATACTGAGTGAGTAATGTGTTTATGAGCAGTTTCCTTACCTTAAGCTATCACTAGTGTCACCCTCCATTGTGCTAATTAGAATTTAAAAGTTATTTCCCTTTTGCCTAATTTAGGGATGTCAAGGCTCAAATTGAAGAAGAAGACTGTGCTGTTGTAAACCTCATCAAGTCAAATGATTGGGTATAATATTTTCCTCTTATAAAGAAGTGTGGGTCGTAGGGAGGGATTGATCTGCTTTTGATAGGACAATTATGTTCTCTAAATTTGTCCACGAAGCTATTAGATTGCTACATGGCATGCCTTTGCTGGAATGAAGATATTGAGTAAAGCCTAATAATTTTTATCGAACGACTTCCATAAATTTTTTGTTTCCCTTCCTCTTCAGCTGTCCTCTGAGCTTGTCATATCTCTGTTTTTAGATTCATGATTTCCTGGGGTAGTCAGACTACTGTCAGAGTCTATGACTATTTATATAGCATTCTGTGACCTAGTTGTTTTTCCTGTCTGCCTGGATATATAACTGCTAGCAAATTGAAGGCCATCCATTACATTGGACTCTTTTCTCTCTCTCTCTCTCTCTCTCTCTCTCTCTAGGGAAAGTTCCTTTTTCCAAAACTCCAAAAGAGGTCTAGAATGTCATTTTATGTAGAACGTTTCCTTTCAATGTTTCCTTTCATAGAGCCTCCTTAAACAGCTTCCTCCACCATGATGTACATAATTGAGTGCTTATATTCTTTATCCATAGTTCACTGTGGTTCGGTTATGTTGGATGCCTTGGTGACAGTCTTTACTCTTGCCATTCCTTCAGGGAACAATGTTCTGAGAGCTAAAACTAAGCTACTCTAAAAGAGCTTATTTTTTGTCGACAGTTTGATGACAAAGAAGTGTTTTCCAAGTATTTACTTCCACCGGTTTTTTTAGATGCAACATTTGACTTTTTCTCTATTCATATACTTATTTTAATGATTTGACCGTGCTATTTTGTTGATCAGTAGAAACAAATTTTGTTATGCTGGAGTAAATATTGTTGGATTAAACTAACTTTGTGTTTGGGAACCAAACTTTAATGAGGATATTTGAGTGAAAGCTAGTAAATGTGACAATTCCTTTGCTTTACAAATGGTTATGAAAAGGAAAAGTATGGAAAGGTAAAATTGAGCATATGTGGGTAACTCTTCTAGTTACATTTTCCTTGTTTTTTTTTCTACAGTTCTCCCTTAAAAAGTGATGAAAAAACTGTGGAATGCTAAGCAAACCAATTGTGTAACTTAAAAATATCCTAATTTCCATAGATTCCATATAATAAACCAAACAAATTAACAATAAGTTCTCAATATAATATGATGAATTAGTCACCACTGTAGACTTTGAAGTAAGAGACATGTAAGAGAAGCTTGTATGTATGGTCATAGAAAATAGATATTTATATTAGTCATCAGTGAGATGACATTTATTGTCTTGTATGAAAGTGTAGAACATATATAACCATAGACCAGTAATTCATGTAGAACTAAAGACTTCTACATGTCGCTGCTCTGTTGATTAACATTTTTCTTTTGGATGTCTAACTGAAATCAAAGACATGGATCTATACTACTTTTCCTATATCAAAAACTAAATTGATACCTACTGGTGCTATAGACAATTAAATCTGCAATATCTTGCTATTAAAACTTTAAACTTGATGCTTATTTCCCATTTTGAATGTCATTGCTTTTGATCAAGATAATTGTTGTATGTATCATATCTAATTGCCTTCATATAAACCTGTTAATAACTTTTTGTCTCTTGTAATTATTTTATCCCTTATTTTATTGGTGCCCTTAATGGATGTCAGGATATGAAATGGCCCATAATCATGGATATATTGCTCAATTATGTGATGTCTATTGTCCACTATTGTTTTTCTTTTATTTATCTGACAATGTGATTGTAATATAGTTGAGGCTGAGGCTATTTCCTGAAAGATATAAGAATTTGGTGCATGAGGATTCAACAAGCTGGTTCTAATGGTTTTTCTATGCTTTAAAATGTTTGCTACTAGGTGGTGATCTTAGATGAGCATGGACTTGATGTTAGCTCAGAGCGGCTAGCTGAGCTTATAGGAGATGCAGGGTTGACGGTATAACTTCTTGCCCTTTTTAGCTGAATCTCTATAGCTGACATTAAGCACTGTACATGCTACCAATAATGAAGAGATTGTCAAACTACCCTGCAGCCTATCAAAAAAATGCTATTATCTTTAGAGTTACCTTAGTCTGTGCATAGAATTGTCAAAAGGCTAGGCATTCAGCTTGGAAAAATGGCAAGTATGCCGCCTGCCCCCTTGATGGCTAGGTTCAGCTGCTACCTGTAGTTTTTAAGGGTCAGCTGGTTGGTAGGCCTAACCCTTTCAGGCTCATTATTGGTTTGATGATTTCTCTCATTCTTTGGCATAAATTCTGAGTCTTTCAGTGTAGGAGATATTTGCCTATAATGAAAGCTATAATTCAACTTTTTTTAATTCTTATTTTTTAGGGAGCTTCAAAAATGATATTTTGCATAGGTGGGCCATATGGTCATGGAAGACAGTTACGTCAACGTGCTAATTTATCAATAAAGCTATCGTCATTGGTATTGAATCATCAGATTGCTTTAGTTGTGCTAATGGAGCAATTATACAGGTTAATATATAGCCAATTTGTTAACATAAGCTTGCTGGTTGTGATTACTATTTTAAACATCTTGATCTACTGAAGCTTTCATTTATATTATTTTTGTGACTGACTGATGTGTTTCCAATCTGGAGACACAAGCAAACTTGCACATTCCAGTGAGCAAGCTCTACTTAGTTAGACCTCTTTATTTATTAATTAATTATTTTTTTATATCTATTCAAAAAAAAAAATTATTTTTTATATGTGCAGAGCATGGACTATTCTCAAAGGTCAGAAGTATCATCACTAGGAATCTGCCATTCTACCTGAATCATTGTGCAGGTACAATTTGAAGTAGCATTATCATTCTAATTTGAGATTATTTTTTTCACCTCATTCAAATTATTTTCTATTATTGGTCATAAATCTAATCAGGAGCTCAGAATAATATGCTCTAGATATACTAACATTGATAACATAATGGCCTAATGGAGTGGGATAAAATGTGCAATTGCTTCTTTGCCCGTGAAGAGCCCTTTCGTCCCTATAGGCAGCCTAAAGATGCTTCTCTATTGATCTGGGGAAATCATGAGATGGGCAAGGGGCCGCGGAGACTCTCCCATCCAAATGTAGCCGTAGTTGCCCTTTGACCTTCTATTCAATATGCATTTCACATAGGTCCTAATCTCTCTTGCTACCTAGGATGAAGGAAAGCTATAAAGGGCCTGGATTAGAACAGCCAACTCTGTCAACCACAAAAGCCAATGGCTTCTTCATCAGCGTAAGATCAGGACCTTTGAGTTCTAATGTTCATGTTGTTGAGATGATTCTCCCTAGAAATGGGCCCTTGGTCATCAGAACTTATATATTGGGTTTTGATTGTAACTTTGTAAGCGTTTTATATAAATTCTTTTGCATATCTCTAAGATTACTATTGTAAATGTCCCAATTAGAATCTGAAATGCTGTTTTTTTTTTTATATATATTTTTTTTATTGCACTTATTTTGATTTGAAAAAACGAAAAAAAAAAGATGTGTGCATACTTTTGTTTAAATTTATGAATCAGCTACTCACCATCAAACAAGTTCATAATATTGAACCTGCATGTGTTGGAGCTGATAAATATGCATAGCATGTGAAAATATTGCTATGTAAAGATTTGAACTTTTATACGCCATTCTGAGATCTGTGCATAGCACATTAACATTCACTTATAGCTTGCTTAAAGACCACACTGCCACACTCTAAAACTTTTCCTTCTTTATCCCCTTTCTCCTCTACTCTGTACTGCCATTATGATTTTGGTGTTTATAGTCATTTAAAATTGCTTGCATTTCTTCTTATTCGTTAAAACTAAGCTATGATTTCTGGTTGCAGGACCTTTCCTGCTATCTGAAACCCAGTAACTTCTGAAGTTGGTCTTTCACTCAACCAATATCTGCTGAATTCAGGCCTTGGACATGAGTTCATATACAAGGCACAAAAGCACTTGTTAAGATAGATTCAGCAGTTAAAAGAGATTGCAATTCTGTTACTGCAAGTGAGTTTGATTCTGAGGATTTTTTTGGTTCCAGGAAAAGTGATATTAACAGCATGTCATTGTGTTAAACTTTAATGTCATAATGTCAGTGGACTAAGTATTGATGAAGGATTAAGGGCCTTTTCTGGATGCCTAAAGTTGAGGACTGATTTACTTGTTTAGAGAATTTATGTCTCGACACTGATTTTTGTTGTTGCATCGCATTGGGTGTTTGGAGAAGGATAATGAACGAGAATTTCGATTTTTCTGCTCCTTCAGAAAGATGAGGAAATTTGAGTTTTGTATTTTTTTCCTTTTTTGCCCTTCTAGACTAGCTGAGGAGATTGAAATGTTAGCGGATATCATACCTTTATAATGGATATTGATAAAATTTCTTCATAAAACTACATAAAAAGTTATAAATTCCTTACCATTATTAATTTATCACTGCTAATTTTAAATGTTCGTGTCATGTGTTTTACATTTCAAAAACATGTATGACAATCAATATTAAAGGAAAAAAAAAAAGGTAAGGGCATTTAGGCATTTTAGGTGGATACTAAAATCTTGTGGATTTTTTTTATATTACAATATATCTCATATTAAGTAACATTACTTTATTCATTTATCTTTGTAGATTTCATTTAATAAGAAAGTTTGTAGAACAGATTGCATATGTATACTCCGTCCGTCCCTTGATAATTGTGTTGTACAGTATAATATCTTAGGGTGATTTGAGCTTATATCATATTACTTTTGGTTTGTTATCTCACTTGCTCTATATATCTCATTCTCACGCACAACTTTGTTTACCTATGGCTATATGCACAACTTTGTCCATGCTTTAAAGCAAAAATTGAAGTATGGGACAATCTTTCTGAACGGATTGGAGCGAACAGTACTTTACCAGTTGGATCGCAAATGGTAAGGTTACAACAATACTTGGCCCAAAGAAAAAAGATCATTATGCTTGCAAAAGTGACAACTCATATGTTGGTTTAAATGGTACGATTCCTTTGCAATTATATCACTTTATTTGTAATTAATACCAAGTAGTTCAATCCATGTAAAATATGTAGTAATGCACTAATGCACAAGCGTTTTTTTAAATTTCCGCCTAAATGTTTTTTTCATTTTTTTTTTCCAAATATTAACTTCTATATATATTTGACATCAAATTTGTTCTATATATGGTCTATCAATATATATTTTCATATCTTTCTTACCATTTTTATTGGGTATTATTAAAATAGTAATTTTCTATAAGACTTTAAATTATTCTTTTTTGTCTATTATATGCATATGTTGTACTTTGTATTTTATTTTCAAGAATAAACTCATCAACAATTTTCGATGAAATGTAAAATAAATGAAGTTGTAAGATCTATACTTTTTGTAAATATAATACAAATATGCAATCCTAAATAATTACTCAATTATATATTTATATATAACTATGTATTATTTGTTTAATATTATAGGAATATTAGATAAAAATACCCATTGACTATAATCATAACAATAGTACTAATAAAACAAAAATTAAATTCTTCACCATTCATTAAAAATGAAACAAATAATCAATTAAATTACCCATGTGTCTATCAAAGTGTGGGACTAAAAGTCGCACGGGTATTGACCTTAATTTTATTGTTATAATGTATTGTGTATAATGAAGTTATTTTATTATATATGTTCAGTATTGTAATTCATTTTTAAAATTAATTACTGTAGTAATAACTAACGTTGTAATTTGAAATAAAATTTTGTAAAAACCGTGCATTACACGGGACTTATACTAATTTTGATAATATAAATCAATGAAGATGATGGGTTTGGAGTTCGATAAATTAAAAATTAAAAATTTATATTTTTAATTGGGGAAACATTTGTTTATAAGAGTAACACTTTTATATAAGTAAACTCAATTATTCATAAGGATAATTTCTATTTTATTTTTTATTTTATTTTTTATTTTTTATTTTATTTTTTTTTTTGTCCATAAGAGTAACATAATCCCAATTTATTGTACAAGTATTATTAATTAATGTAAAAATAGCCTAAATTGTTCAATCAAGTAACTCTTTTTCTTTTATTATGACTATAAAATGAATAACTCCAATTGTTTAAAATTAACTTTATTTTTTCATTGAAGTAACCACACATCTATCTTGATAACTCCATATGATTGTCCTTGATAACTCCATATGATTGTCGACGTAGCTCTCACTACTCAATTCATTGTCTTATACAGAGTATGTAGAGTGCCCAAGATATCAAGTAATGGTGTGGCTGATTAAAACTTAAAACTTGTGTTATTATAAATATTAAGTGCAGTTTTATATATATATATATATATATATATATATATATATATATATATATATATATATATATATATATATATATATATATATTAACTGTAATTATATATATATTAACAAAGATTTTATGTACATCTGGTTTACAATAATATTAATGTACATCGAATATTTTTTGGGTAATCTTTAGCCAAATTAGGATAACTTGTAACTTTAATTGTGGTAGTTTTAAACCTAATATGAATTTAATGTAAATAGACCATAGGATAAATTTTTTTATGAGTAATATATAGTTACTTTTCATTCAATGAGATTGATTACTACTTATTTAAAGAGATAACTTTATATCAATAAAACATAAATAGCTTTTATTTATATTGTAATAACTTTTATTTATATCGGGGTAATTTTTAATCATGCATATTAAGAGAACTTTACGATAAATATACAATGATTATTATTGAACACCCAATTTTTTAAAAGTTTGTTATTTAATAACATTGAGTTGGCCAACAATAAACAAAGGGCCCGACACAACTTTGGGCAATACAGCTTGAAGTTTTTAGATATTGAGGGACTTAGAGTGTTATACAACTTTTTTAGAGAGACAAAAAGATTAAGAGCTTGCCCCAGTTAATCTCAGTGAGAAACAATTTTTGTTTATCACATGGTAATTTTGTAAATATATCAACAATTTCATTCAATCATCATCAATTGTGAAGCCCACATTAATGAAAAAGTTGTTGATTTATTTACGAAAATGCTATGTGATAAACAATTTTTGTTTATCACTGAGAGAAACTTATATTTTCTCAAAGATTAATGACATAGACAAAATCTAATCTTGGACTATTATATTGAGGGACTAAGAAATATATTATCACCTTTTGACTATGGTAAAGATGGTGCCATTATTAAGATTAATGCCACCTTTTGGGAAGGAGAAGAACTCTAGTAATTAAACTAACAGATCGATGCTTGAAGTAGAGGGAAGGTAAGGAATTGGTCCCTACTCCTAAGCATAAGTAATTCATTAATCTTGAACTTTTAACCTCAAAGTTAAAAAGATAATTTCCCCACTTATAAGACTAATATGAGGTAGTTAGGTACTCATTAATAGTTAAAATTCTTATGACCATTTTGAATCTTCAAGAAAACTATCAAATTTTGGGATTTTCAATAATGTCCGATTTTCAACATAAAAAAACAACTCAGTATTATTTCAAATGATAACATGGATTCAAAAACAAGGTACGTAACAAATTAACTACCGAGTACTCATGACAATAAATTAACTACCGATGAGTACTCATAATCAATCAACCATTGCAAAATTAACTTTCAATCATTATTATAGGTTAAACTAAACTAATTAAATTATATGATACATATATAATATGTACTCCCTCTATCTCTATTTTTTTTATCTCATTTGACTGTGTACGGTCCCTAAGACACGTCTTAAAATGTCTTGATCTTTATTTTCATACATGTAAAAATTATTAAAACGTGATATTAATAAAATATATAATAAGATGAATCTAATAAGACTATTCATAACTATATTATTTTTTATAATTAATAGTAGTTCACGGTTAAAGTTTTTAAAATTTAACCTAAAAAATAATAATAGGGCAAAAATAAAAGGACAAAATAAGTACGAAATATAAATATATGTGCATGGTTGTTCCTAAGAATTGATTGACTCGAATTTATATATAGTCCTTCTTCTTATCCTCGTTTATGATGAAAAGCAATTCATTGCATTGCATTAGACGTTCTGCCGCAAACAGTAAAATAATTTATAGTACCACTTTCTCTTTTACGGAGCATTATTATACTCCACTTCAATCTGCATGGTTGATTTCGGTTGTTCATGATACTTTATTTTTTTTGGTTGTTGACGATACTTTTAAGTCTTTCTGACAACACGTCTTTCCTGCTGACCTATTCCAATTCCAATCCCCTTTTCATATCCTCATACCATCTTACTTTAATAATACACCAACGAACTAAAATTTAAAATCGCTACGTATTTCGGTTCTGTTTGAAGTTATCCTATTGTTCTAGATATTGTTTGGTAAATGGTTGTTGACTGTTGACGGTTGATTGATTTACTTGGCTTGTTTGATCAGGTAAAATATTTGGCTGTTTATAATGGCTTTTGAAATTGACTATTTAAGCTGTTTGTTTATAAAAGTGTTTGGTAAATTTAATTGGTGACTGTTGGTTATTTATTAAATAATTTGTGGGCCAACAAGCCAAAAACCAACAAAAAAAAGCTACTCATAGCAGCTTTTTTTTATTTTGGCTTAAAAGGCAGCCTTTTCACCGAATGACAAGCTAATTACCAAACACTTTTTTTGACTGTTTGATCACAAAAAAAAGCCAAAAGCTAACTAAAAAGCCACCAAAAAACCATTAACCAAACATGGCCCTAATCTCTTATGATTAAGTATATAAAATAGTTTTCTGAATATACTCTTTATTGCAATTGTGTTAAATATTCACTCCCAATTCTCAATCAAAG